AGTACAGGCAGTCCCCGAGTTACGCGGATCCGACTTATGTCGGATCCGCAGTTACGAACGGGGCCCTCCCTCTCCCTGGTCTCCAGCAGACCAGGGAGAGGAAGCAAAGCGGCGGAACACGCAGGCGGACAGGGTTGTCCGCTGCACGCGTGCTCCGCGGCTTTGCTCTGCTTTGCTCCCTGTCCTCCTGGTCTGCAGACCAGGGGGACGGGGAGCAAAGCAGAGCAAAGCCGCGAAGCACATGGTCAACGGACAGCCCAGACACGCCTGGGCTGTCCTCTGCCCGCGTGTTCCGCCGCTTTGCTTCCTCTCCCTGGTCTGCTGGAGACCAGGGAGAGGGAGGGCCCCGTTCGTAACTGCGGATCCGACATAAGTCGGATCCGCGTAACTCGGGGACTGCCTGTATATGGTTGCAACAATTTTCTTCCACTATTTGATCTGAGGAAGTGGGTCTGGCCCATGAAAGCTCATCATCTAATAAACCATCTTGTTAGTCTTTAAAGTGCTACATAGTCCTATTTTTTGTTTGAAGAATGTATGTTATGGTAAGTTCCCCTCATTGACAATTTTATTCATTATCAGAAGTTATTTGATAGCCTTTAGAGACATATACTGTGGACTATTTTTCAGTACTACAGAATCTCAGCAAAAGTTATATCATCAAGGCCATGTACAGAATTTCTAAATTCCTTATAAAGGGAAGCAACCATATAAAGTAATTCAACATAGACACTGAAGTCAAATAAGGCTGCATATTACCTCTGCTGTTGCGTGGATTACCTCAAACTGGGTAATGAAATATACATAAAAACTGGTATAACAAGGGTAGATGACAAATCTATAAGACAGACTTTACTGATAGTATTGTGGTGCTGAGTGTCAGCCTCACAGATTTACAAGTAAAGACAAAACGGCAAAAAAAAGGCCACAGACAAGGTTCAAAATTAGTTATGCTAAAACAAACATCGTAGAAAGCTAGATATCAAGCAGTATCATGACATGCTTGATAGCAAACATATCAAGAAAATAAAATAGTTCAGCATCAAATTGGGAAAAGGATCTCTCAGAAAGGAAGTGACATCAACATATGCACAACATTTTCTAAACTTAGCAGTGGACAGAAATCAAACACAATCTCAGTACCAATTCTGATGGTGAAAATTTTATTATATGGTCATCTGTATGTTAGTAACTGGTCAGAGACCACAAATCCACCTCACATTAGAGCATCAAACAGCTGTCAGCTGAGTGTTGATACCATCAGCAGGGCTGAATTCAAATGAACGTTGAGATGAGTGTGAAAGGCTCCATTCTCAATCATCTGAACCATCAAAATCGATATACATAACATAACAGTTAAAGGAATAAAGAACACAAGACCATTTCTCACACATGAAACCACAGGACAGAAAAGTTAATGGTTCATTTTAGTTTAAAGGTTAAGTATACAGTAACTCAATGACTAGCTATGTTCCAGAATCTTTGGTATTCAACTAGCCCTGATTAACAGTTTAAGACATTTTTCAAAGATAAGGGGGAAAACCCTAAATTTAACCCACAACATATAAAAATAAAAAACATTTATACTCTCTCTATTGACAGGCTTCTGTTGTAACAGCGATATCCTGAGAAGATTTACACGCAATTAAAATGAGATCAAAACCTCACCAACACATTTCTCCACAATGAGGTAAAAATTCAGGAGACATGATTTAAACATAATGGTGCACACCTTGCAGAGAAAATGCAAAACCAGATCTTCCAATTTAGTTTTAATTGATTAAAAATAAAACAAATATTCACAGAAAATTTCTCAAGTTGTAAATGTTTCATGTATGTACAATTATTGATTCATTTGAATTAGAAAAGGAATAAAAAGGTTTTGTTCTCTTGTCTTCTTAATTTATTTGATTGCTCGTGTTCTTAGAACAACATGGACTGAATCAGGCCACACAAAAATCTGTGCATCAATCGTACAGTTACTATGACACACAAGGTTTTTGTTTTGTTTTCTCTCCATTCCTTCATCAGTTTGGTACTGGTAGCCTCACCTCTCCCCCTAACCCCCCAAAAAATCTCCTAGTCACAATGTTCAGACACTTCCAAATTATAGCTTTAATTTTTTATTTTTTTAAATTTTCTAAGAGCAGAATAATTTGATGATAACCAAATCATCATCATAATGGTCAAACTACATACAATAGCCTAAATTTCTCAGATTCATTTTCTTTATTCTAAAACTTGTAGAATCAGCCTCATACATCCATAATGTGCATGTACTAGGAAGCAAGCTTAGTTTCATTTCTTATATAGCTTTAATTTTTTATTTTTTTAAATTTTCTAAGAGCAGAATAATTTGATGATAACCAAATCATCATCATAATGGTCAAACTACATACAATAGCCTAAATTTCTCAGATTCATTTTCTTTATTCTAAAACTTGTAGAATCAGCCTCATACATCCATAATGTGCATGTACTAGGAAGCAAGCTTAGTTTCATTTCTTATTTTCCTTGGCTTCTGATTGTGCACATTTTTTATTTTGCTACTTGTTTACCATGTACACACACAAAAAAAACCACCCAGGAATAATTTCTTTATTGTATTGTTAAGAATTCATTTTCCCAACCCTGGTAGACACTGAAAGGTTTTTAAAATAATGTCTTTAACAAGTCTAGCTGAGACTATTTTTTAAAAATTCCCAGTAAAATTGTATACAGGCAGTCCCCGGGTTACGTGGATCCAACTTATGTCGGATCCCTACTTACGAACGGGGCTTTTCTCGCCGCGGAGGATGCAGGCGGCGGGACCGCCGAGACATGCCGCGGTCCTGCTGCCCACATCCTCCGCGGCGAGAAAAGCTGCTCTGC